ACATAATTTGAATTTATCTATTTTTACCCTTCATTAATCTATGTGTATTTAATACACTACTTTTCTTTGGAAAGTGGTGCATTAAATATTTTCTAATTTTATGGGAGAACTTTAATATATATATATATATATACTTGTTGTTAAATCCCTTATCTGAATTTTGAATTATCTTTTAATGCACCTTGATTCATGCATTTTTTTTTTTAAGAAAAGTGGTTTTATTTTTAAATTAATTTAATATCCGAATAGTGTAATAGTGTAACAATAACAGTGTAACAATAAAAATGTAACAGTGTAACACTAACAACGTAACAGTATAACAATAATAGTGTAACAAGCTATTTACACAAAATATTGTACTATTACGTTTTGTTAAACATATAGTTTCATATAATTTCATTCAAAATAGTTCATCTCTGTTTTGAATTTGTTACCATATACACAAAATTACTGAACATTTTTTTTGTTATAGTGTATTTGTTACATTGTCTTTGTTACAATGTATTTGTTATATTGTTATTATTACACTGTTATTGTTATACTATTACATCATTCAGATATTAAATTAATTTAAAAATAAAACTACTTTTCAAAAAAAAATACGCTTGAATCAAGGTGTATTAAATATAATTTGAAAAAAAAAATCACTTTTCAAAAAAAAAAAATACGCACGAATCAAGGTACATTAAAGATAATTTAAAATTTAAATAAGAGATTTAAAAACAAATATATATATATATATATAAACAAATACACATGAGTCAAAGGTGCAATAAATACGTATTTATATGTATTAATAAACACACATGAATGAAGGTGCATTAAAGGTAAGAAATTTTGAATTAAATGATCCTAAAATGGGCATTTATATCTTTTTAATTCACATTTTGTTCTATGTACTTTTTACCGAATAAGTCTAATTAGGTGTACCGGCTTCCAAAAAACCCTTTAATAAATTTGGGTAGATAATATTGGGCTCAAATTTTTTTGTTTTAATTAGGCTTAATTTTTTAATTTTTTTGGGTAAATAATGTGGACCTAATATAAATGAAGGGGGTACACATAATATATTATATAAATATATAACACATATACCTAACTAAAACAAAAAAAAAAAAAATTGAGGGGGGGCACTTATCCACCCTGCCCAGCCTTCCCTCCGCCCTTGTTTGTGCATGAGAAAATGGGCCAATGGTAAAAAGGTGCATGGCCCAATTGATTTGGTGGAGGTATTGGAGAGAGAAGAAGGAAACAATAAGTCGATTAAATACTCAGACAACTTGAATATATCCATATCATTTGTGCAGTCAACTATGCTCGAAAATGTTGGGAATGTGAGACCCAATAAAAAAAGTAAGAGTACATATGAGATGTTAGTTGAAGGGTTAATGAGTGCTGCATTTATCATTAGTGAGGTGTATTTCCCATGCAAGTGATGTCGATGCTGCAATTCAAGACATGAAGAAGAAGATTTATGAAAAGTTGATGAAGCTGCTGGACATTTCAAAGATTTTGGATTAATTTTATATCATTGGATCAAAGTAGATAATGATTAGGCCAATTTTAACCGTTGTTGTATTTTTATAAGTTAAGAATTCAATTTCTTAATTAAAATATTAGATGTTTGGAATAGTTCTTTCATAGGCTGCAAGTAAAAAATCAACTCTTAAAATCAAAGGTAGTGCATAGGGACAAGGATAAAAGAAATATTTTAGTATTTATTTTAATTAATACAACTAGGACTTACAGCTCCGTCTTCATTAAAAAAAATTAAAAAAGAGATATCTATCACAAGTGTAATGCTATAAAACTAATGTATAGGCATGTTTTTGAATCTTTCACACCTACTCAAACTGGTTTTCTCTTCACAATACCATTTGATATGTACATTGTTGACATTTGTTGCTCACTTGTCAAGGGAAAATAGACTTTCGTCTTACTTTAAATAAATATGAAGGCGTCAAAATTAGTTTGTTATCAAATTGTAATACTCATTCACATTATCAAAAATTATTTTTTTGGGTATTGTACATCCAAAACACTAACTTTGGGGTTTACATAAAAACTTAAATCGCAGGTTTTTGAGGTGATTGAGATCAGTTCTAATGTTTTAGGATCGATTTTAAAATTGGTATTAAGCACCCTAAAACGTTGTAGCTTTATTCAAAAATAACGTAACTAAACCCAAAAAATTAGTATCAAATCGATTTGGTAATCTTTCCCTTCTCTCTCACAGGTTGCATACCCAATAGAACAAAGCAATTTGAAGATCAAGATGAGAAAAAAAAAAAAAAAAAACCCTACATTTTTAGTGGCTACAAAACAAACAGTAAAATACCAGATGAGCATGTTTGGTTTGATTCACTTATTTTAGTACCATTGCTGTCCTGAGTCCTGACGAAGTCTAAACCCACCACTGCATTGACAAGTTCAGTGTATTTTTCAATTCAATGGTTGATAAGTCTTCAACCACTCTTTATTTAATCCAATAACCCGTCCGAAAATGCTTCATATTGCTGACAAATGTGGGGTGGCACTTGGTTTCAACACTCCTAAGGCTAATTTATAGTTTACGCCCTTCAAATATGTCAAGTTCTAATTAATTTAGTTCTTGAAATTTAAGTCTGACACAATCAACGTCATAAAATTTTAACTGAGTTACAATTCAGACCTTCTATCTAAATTTGTTCGTTTGATATAACAAAAATAGCCCAATGAAAAACAAGTGACTTGTATAGAGGAGTATACTTGTTAACACTGGGATATGTCTTGATTCCAATTCTTCTTGGTCTTGGTGGCTATCAATTTTCTTTTGGGTTTGTTCTTTTCTTCAAGATTGATAATGGTTAATAAGCAATGGGTTGTAATCATTTTTAGGAAGACAAACATACCCTTTTGATTAAGTTCTACCCTTTTAATAGGCGGAATATTCGAAATAAAATTCAATTAAAACATACAAATTAGTTAGTGTTCAGATTTTAATTTTATGAACCAAATTGAACTTTAGCCGTAATTGAAGGGTGTAAATGAGAAATTATCCAAATTTCAAATGTACCCATGTCACCTCCCTCTGTCCTCTACCCAAGTGTGTTTTAGCATGCTGACTATTTCTTAGATTGCACACAAAAGATTAGGGGAACATCATTTTCCAGTTGTTGAACAGACAAATGATAGATTTTCAGTTTAAACTGAGAGAGTTGCTAAAAGGTTGGAAGCCATCTGTAAGGGGTAGAAATCGTTATGGGATTTCAGTCCTCCTCCATAGAAAGTGTTCACTTATATGACAGGGGAGGAGACGACTCTCTTCCGATGTGGGATTGCATTAGGAAAGGGTTCTATTGGCGAAGAGAGGTAAAGGCTACTAGGGCTCAGTACTGCCAAGTTAGCCGGAATCCTTCGAGTGGAAGGCTGAAATCCCATAGCGATTTCTACCCTTTACAAAAAGGCACCTTTTGGTGGACAGGATTCCCTCCCTCCGAAAGGATTTTGGCTGGCCTGCACCCTTTCCTAAGGCAATACAATAGCCTTTTACCTCCATCCCACATCGGATCAAGTGGTTAGTGGGTACCTCCTCCATAGAAAGTGTTCACTTATATGGCAAGGGGGGAGACGACTCCTACCCGATGTGGGATGGAGGTAAAGACTACTGTATTGCCTTAGGAAAGGGTGCAGACCAGTCAAAATCCTTTCGAAGGGAGGGAATCCTGTCCAACAAAAGGCGTCTTTTATGTTAGGGGTAGAAATCGCGCATTCGGATCTCATCCCCGAACACCAAGGATTCTGGCTGGCCTGCACCCTTTCCAAAGGCAATACAGTAGTCTTTACCTCCATCCCACATCGGGTAGGAGTCGTCTCCCCCCCTGCCATATAAGTGAACACTTCCTATGGAGGAGGTACCCACTAGCGACCTGATCAAGTGGCTAATGGGTACCTCCTCCATAGGAAGTGTTTACTTATATGGCAGGGGGGAGACAACTCCTACCCGATGTGGGATGGAGGTAAAGGCTACTGTATTGCCTTAGGAAAGGGTGCAGGCCAGCCAGAATCCTTGGTGTTCGGGGATGAGATCCGAATGCGCGATTTCTACCCCTAACATAAAAGACGCCTTTTGTTGGACAGGATTCCCTCCCTTCGAAAGGATTTTGACTGGTCTGCACCCTTTCCTAAGGCAATACAGTAGCCTTTACCTCCATCCCACATCGGGTAGGAGTTGTCTCCCCCCTGCCATATAAGTAAACACTTCCTATGGAGGAGGTACCCATTAGCCACTTGATCAGGTCGCTAGTGGGTACCTCCTCCATAGGAAGTGTTCACTTATATGGCAAGGGGGGAGACGACTCCTACCCGATGTGGGATGGAGGTAAAGACTACTGTATTGCCTTAGGAAAGGGTGCAGACCAGTCAAAATCCTTTCGAAGGGAGGGAATCCTGTCCAACAAAAGGCGTCTTTTATGTTAGGGGTAGAAATCGCGCATTCGGATCTCATCCCCGAACACCAAGGATTCTGGCTGGCCTGCACCCTTTCCAAAGGCAATACAGTAGTCTTTACCTCCATCCCACATCGGGTAGGAGTCGTCTCCCCCCCTGCCATATAAGTGAACACTTCCTATGGAGGAGGTACCCACTAGCGACCTGATCAAGTGGCTAATGGGTACCTCCTCCATAGGAAGTGTTTACTTATATGGCAGGGGGGAGACAACTCCTACCCGATGTGGGATGGAGGTAAAGGCTACTGTATTGCCTTAGGAAAGGGTGCAGGCCAGCCAGAATCCTTGGTGTTCAGGGATGAGATTCGAACGCGTGATTTCTACCCTTAACACCATCCGTACTATTTAACAAATGCTTTGGGGATTGAAAGGATCACTATATAAATAGCCAGCCTCCCCTTTGAACTATCATCCACAACTAGTTTTCTATTGCATAAAGCTTAGTAGTCCCAAGAGAATTGCCAAGAATGGCCAGTTCTTGGCCTCGAGTGCTCTATGCTTTAGCAATCTGTTTCATAGCCACAAATGTAGCATCCGACCATGAGCCTTACTATTACGCATCTCCACCACCCCCACCTCCTTATTATTACAGTTCACCACCCCCACCTCCTTACTATTACAAGTCACCACCACCACCGTCACCGTCACCTCCACCACCATACTACTACAAGTCGCCTCCTCCTCCATCACCATCCCTTCCTCCCCCATCACCATCCCCTCCTCCCCCATATTAATACAAGGCACCACCATCACCATCTCCATCACCACCACCTCCATACTATTACAAGTTCCCTCCTCCCCTATCACCTTCTCCCCCACCTCCCAATTATTATAAATCACCATCACCGCCATTTGTCTCTCCTCCTCCTCCTTACTATTATAAGTCACCACCCCCACCTCCTCCTCCTTACATGTACAAATCACCACCACCACCTTCTCCTTCTCCACCACCACCCTATTACTATAAGTCACCACCACCTCCATCTCCTTCACCACCACCTCCTTATATCTACAAGTCTCCACCACCACCATCACCATCTCCTCCACCACCATACTATTACAAATCTCCTCCTCCACCATCTCCATCCCCTCCTCTACCATACTACTTCAAGTCTCCTCCACCACCATCACCCTCACCTCCTCCTCCTTACTATTATAAATCACCACCTCCACCATCTCCATCCCCGCCCCCTCTATATTACTACAAATCGCCACCACCTCCTTCTCCATTCTCCCCATCACCTTATTACTACAAGTCCCCACCACTGCCCTCCCCATCACCTCCACCACTATATTACTACAAATCACCACCACTGCCCTCACCATATCCTCCTCCTCCATACTACTACATTTCTCCTCCTCCCAAGCCTTATTAAAAAGGAAACCGCTTCATGTAAGTTTGGTAAATAAATACTGCCTTTCTTGTCTCTTGTTGTGAACATCTTTTCATTGAAACTAACATTGTTTTGCAGCTCATATACTGCGTCATAATGCAACAAGAAGCCGAATGTTTTCAAGGGGAGGCAACTATGATAGTTTTTTCTTAAACAACACCACTAGTTGGAGAATAAAAAAATAATGGCCGTTATGTTTTTATTATTTCTTATTGTAAGACATGTAGTACGCTCGTCTATTTAAATATTTTTTGTTCCTTTTCTCATATGGACCTAATATAAGTTCAACCACTCAAATGTTGATCAATTTGGAATAGTAAAGACCTTTGTCACAAATAAATTACTTGATTTCTTTTTTTGTGATCATTTCTAACTTTTTCTAAGAGGGAGGAAAATTGATATGAATTTTGGCCATGAGAATTATTAAATGAAGCACAACTTCCATTGTACATTTCACAATGGTTTGAGTAGTACCACAGAGAGAGAGAGAGAGAGAGAGAGAGAGATATTTATGATTGTAATTGTGAAGGTCCATGGTATATATATATATATATATATATATATATAT